AGCCTGCTCAACCCTTGCTCTGCATGGCAAAGGTGCCCTGGCTGCAGCAACACCTTCAAAAGTAAACCACAGCTGGCCTGTGAGAGCTCCCTGTGAGCTCCCCACAGCACATCTGTACCTCACAGTCTTCCTCGCAGCCTCTCGCCGTAGGACCACGGATTCCTCTCTGCCACAGACCCTTGAGGAAGTGGGGCTGAGTAACATTTCCTTCTGGTTATTGCGACAGACGCATGCGCATCTGCCAAGTATGAGCCGGCCGGCCAGGCACAGCCCTGGGCTTTGGCAGATACAGCTGCAAAATAAACATCACTACGAACCAGCAGAGTTTATCCCTGCTTCTGGGTTCCTGTCATTGCACTTACCTAAAGCAAATTCCTCACAGCCTTCCAGTAGCTGGGGATGTTCAGGACCTTCTTCTTTCTATAATGAGCAGCTTCTGCTGAACATCATTCTTGGAAATCCAACAGCTTTTATTTGCATTGTAAATTGACCCCCCCCAAATCTCGGTGCAGAAAGCGGATGCATAGTTCATCCTGCTGTCCCCAGGGTTAGTGATGGCACTGGTGGGGGTTTTGCAGCAAGCAGAGCCACACTGAGCCACACAAACCTGTGTGTGCTGAGCACAGAGCCCTGCAAAACAGGCTCGCTCAACCCTCAGAGCTCTGCACCATCTCAGATGTTTGTGTTCCTGTACCTTGAAGTCTGATCCTGCTCTCTGCTCTTCCCACACAAATCAGACAAGGCTTAGGAGCTTTCCAGTCTGACCTCCAGCCTTTCAAAAGCTGACAGAGCTTCCCAGCAGACCTCTGAGGTATTAAGCTTAACAACAAGTCAAGTAATCTTAACCATGCAAACTTGTTAAGCCAAAAGCATTTCTTTGGCCTTTTTTTTTTTTCAGAAAGTATGCACTTTGACTTCATTCTATAGACATAGCATTAAAACAAACAAACCCAACAGCAACAAAAGACCTCTAGCACACACACACACACACAAAAAAAAAAAAAATAAAAAATAAAAAAAACAACACCACAAATGTGATTATGAAGTTGAACTCTCACTTCTGGCCATTCTTGAAGCTCTTAGGCCTTCTGAGGCCTAAGTAGACATGAGACAGCAGCTTTAGGAGGAGTGTTCTGACTTGGTAGAAAATGTTTACATATCTTTGCTGGGAGCAGGACACCATCTGCTCTAAAAACAAACAACTGTCCACAAACTGGAAACTCGAGATCACTGTAAACTGATACCTTGAACATTGTATTTTTTATTTTTATCACTTTTAATTGCAACGTCATCTGTGGAGCTGTTGAACTTCTGATTTCTCAACCATGCTACTACATCTGTCTGCATTTCCAGAGTCTGGGAATGGAATAGGTCTTGGAGCAAACATCCTATGCATAGCCCTGCAAGATCATATTCCTGCACAGTCAGCAGGGGCACCCAAGTGTGGTTTCCTGACATATGTCAAATGATTTATCCTTTATAAAGAAACCATGGTCCAGCAGGTAGCGTCGCTTAGTTTCCTCCCAGGAATTTAAATTCTTGTTCGCTTTTCCTCTTCAGAGGAAACAGACAAAGAAGAGCCATTTCACCCTTTGTCCCTCTGTGACACACAGCAGCTCTGTTGCAATTTCAGAGGCTCCAAGGTTTGATGTGGGAGTTCTGATGCTACAACACATGCACACTGCGCTCACATGGGTCTTGCAGCCTGGGACCAGGCTGGCAGTACCTCATGCTTCTACCCTAAGATGTGTAAAATCCCCCAAATCACAGAGAATCACAGAATCACTGGGTTGGAAGAGACCTTCAAGATTGTTGAGTCCAGCCCAACCCTAACGCCTCAGCTAAACCATGGCACCAAATGCCATATCCAGTCTTTCTTCAAACACATCCAGGGATGGTGACTCCACCATCTCCCCAGGCAGAACATTCCAGTATTAATCTTTCCATTAAGAACTTTTTCCTAACGTCCAACCTAAATTTCCCTTGGCGCAACTTCAGACTGTGTCCTCTCGTTCTGTCAGCTGCTGCCTGGAGAAAGAGACCGACCCCCACTTGAGTGTGATAGGTGTTAAGGTCACCTCTGAGTCTCCTTTTCTCCAGGCTGAACAACCCCAGCTCCCTCAGCCATTCCTCACAGGGTTTGTGTTCCCAGCCCCTCACCAGCCTCGTTGACTCCTCTGGATGCGCTCAAGCGTCTCAACATCCTTCCTGAACTGAGGGACCAGAACTGGACACAGCACTCATGGAGCGGCCTCACCAGTGCCGAGTACAGGGGAAGAACAATATCCCTGCTCCTGATGAACACACTATTCCTGATCCAGGCCAGGAGCCATTGGCCTTCTTGGCCACCAGGGCACACTGCTGGCTCATGTTCAGCCAGCTGTCACCAGAACCCCCAGGTCATTTTCCACCAGGGCACACTGCTGGCTCATGTTCAGCCAGCTGTCACCAGAACCCCCAGGTCATTTTCTGCCTGGGCACTGTCCAGCCACACTGTCCCCATCCCATAGCACTGGGTTATTGTGGCCAAAATGCAGGACTCAGCACCTGGACTTATTAAACTTCATCCCATCTCTCTGCAGAGCCATCCTCCCTTCCAACAGATCGACACATGTTCCCAGCTTAGTGTCATCTGCAAATTTACTAATGAAGGACTCAATACCCTCAACCATGTCATCAATAAAAACACTGAACAGGACTGGCTCCAGCACAGACCCCTGAGGGACACCACTGGTGACTGGCAGCCAGCTGGATGCAGCACCATTCACCACCACTCCCTAGGCCTGACCATCCAGCCAGTTCTTAACCCAGCACAGAGTGCTCCTGTCCAAGCCAAGGCCTGCCAGCTTCTCCAGGAGTGTGCTGTGGGAGACAGTGTCAGAGGCCTTGCTGCAGGCCAAATAGACACATCCACAGCCTTTCCTCCTAAAGCTATGCTGGCTGGGTCTGACCCCCTGTCCATCCTGTAAGTGCTGCATGATGACACTCAGTATAAACTGCTCCGTTACCTTACCAGGTACTGAGGTCAGGCTGACTGGCCTATAATTACCAGGATCCTCCTTCACACCCTTTTTGTGAACGGCCAGCTTCCAGTCATCTGGAACCTCACCAGTGAGCCAGGATTGTGGTAAATGATGGAGAGCGGCTTTGCAAGCTCATCTGGCAGCTCCCTCATCCATCCCTCATCACCCTGGGATGGATCCCATCTGGCTCATAGACGGATGAACATCCAAGTGGCTCAGCAGTTCTCTGACTGCCTCCTCCTGGATAACAGGGCCATTCTGCTCCCTGACACCATCTCCCAGCCCAGGAGGACAGTTGTCCTAAAGGCAAGCTGCTTTCCCACTGAAGACTGAGGCAAAGAAGCTCAAAGAAGCTCTTCCTTCTACTCATCTGCAGTTACTAAGTTCCCTCCCTTATCCAATGAAGAACAAAGGTTGGTCTTAGCCTTCCTTTACCATTAATATATTTGTAAAAACATTTTTTATTGTCTTTTACAGAAGTTGCCATTTTAAGTTCAAACTGAGTTTTGGCCTCTCTGTTATTTTTCCTACATGCTGTAGCAGCCCCCTTAAATATTTCCTGAGAGACCTGACTCTCCTTCCAAAGATGACACATCCTTTTTTTGTTCCTAAGTTCCTCCAAAACCTCCTTACCCATCCAGGCTGGACGTTTGCCTTGTACCAGTACCTAAGTGGGTGGACTCAGGAAATGTTGGGGTGATTGATCTCACCTGGTTCTGCAAGGTCTTCTGCAGGTTGATTCCCCAGCCACCCATACTGCGTCCTGCTCCACCAGTGGGGTGCTGTGGGAAGCTGTACCAGGGGGTTCAGCTTCAGCAAAGCCTGGCATGAGGAGGGGCTGGCTCTTGTCTGGGACCCTGGAAGCATTTCCAGATCTCACTTGAATCCATTTCATCATTTAAAGCCAGTACCTTCTCCTGTAGGTTGTGATGGTTTTCCGCTGTGAGGATTTTCCCATGTGAGACTGTATTTCCTGTTGGGCAATCTCCAGCAGCTGGTAAATTAAATTGTGGAAGGGTAGTGGGGAAACAAGCCCTGTAACCACACTGCTGCTGTCCCAGCTTAATTCAGCACAGGAACAGGAAACAATCATTACAAGAATAATAATTCTCAATTGCTTTGAAAAAAACCCAGTTTTAGTTCCACAATTTTACACGTTTTAGTAGATTACATTGGATTTGTAAATGGTACTTTGTTTTTATTTTGAGTACATAAATGTTTGATACAAAGGATTAAAAAATGCTCCACTACATTCTGTTGTTCCTCTTTCCAGCAATCATTAGAGGAATCTCAGCATGCTACTTCCCGTCTTTTAGGAACTGATTAACAATTACATGATTGTAAATAGCTAATTGCTGTTTTATCTGGACATAACATTGCCACATTAATAATGTAAACCAAAGTAATCCAATAATGGAAACCTTTCTTATGCCATTAGTTCAAATGAGCATCTATGGATTAAATCAGCAAGTCATGTGCAACTGGCAAATTAAAGCTTGGATGTGAAGTTATTCATGTCTTCTTACAGCACCAAAAGATGCACTTATTCAGGAATCTGCCCAAACCTCATCAGTGGTCCTGTCTAATTAAAAGAGGAATTTTATCTCACTGGAGCTAGGCCAAATTCTGAGTTTTCAACCTCACTGGTGAGGAGTGGGTCTGGGAAGTTGGGGGAGGGACCAGGACTCTATTCTGTTGATATTCTAGTTGATATTTAACTGTTTGGTTTGGGTTTCTTTAAATGTATTTGTACATTTTAAAATGCAATTTCAGAAAAGTAAAATTCAAAATTGAAAGATTATTTCAAAGCTAAAAAAACCTCATTCTGCTTATATAAAAATCAAAACAAATAATTCTGACCTTACTTTGTTAATACTCGAATTTCAAATATCTTCTCATTAGCTCAGTCTGCACTTTCAGGTGAATAAAATTTTATCCCCCTGCATTCCCCTTTCCAATTCATCTGCCTTATCTCTAATTCGCTCTCCCCAACCCTTCCCGTTGTCCACAACAAAGCTGCTATAGTTCTGTTTGAAACTTGCATTTGGCTTCCATGTGTTGGATTCTAAGTTCTGCAACATGCCCACTTCCTCTGTTTGCCAAGCTAGGAAAACAAAATGTTGTCTCTGTACACACACATACTCAATTTTACTCGGGACTGGGATAAATTAGGATCTTGGTTTCAAAGACACTGCAGGCAAAGCAAGCTCATTTCAGACAACTAGTTCGCTCTCCTGAAAAAAATGAAAGGGCAGGATCTGATCCCTATTGGCAAGCTTAGGAACACTTGCAGCAAGGTTTTGGCTCAGAGTTGTCCTCATTTTCACTGACTAAAAAAGAATAAAAGCATGGCCTGCTTATGGTAGAATCAAAGGTGTCAAAAATGGTGTAAGTAGATTTTTATTGTCTTCTCTGAGTTCTGATGGTTTTCTCAGTAAGTCTTGATTTCTTGTTGGACAACTTCCAGCAGTAACTGTAGTTTATGTGTCAGATAATCTGAAAGGGTGGGAAAAAAGGAAGGAAGCTTAGTCCAGAGGAAATCCTGAGATATGGCTAAAAATCAGAGCATCAGCACTGATGGCTGGAGCCTTTTATGTTGTCAGATGACAGTATCTCTTTCTTATTCTTGCTGTATGCTTTCTTCTATTCAGTGGTTACTGATGTACCTCCATCCAACAGCAAATCAAAAGAAAGCAAGGCTTGGAACAGAAATGACAAGAGCAAACCAGCATCCCAACCCTTGAGCATGTTTAGGTCCACAATACTGAAAGTGCATACTTACAGAACAGGTTGCGGCAGCGGTCTGACATCTGCCTGTGAATTATGAGGTAGTAGACTGGAAAACCACTCAAAACCATAGTGCATCCAATGCTAATGCTCACAGGGTCTGAGTAGAAAGACATTGCCACTGTGAAGAGGCAGATGATGGTAAAAGAGACAGGAACAAACAGGGGAACCTGGGGAAAAGAGCAGAGAAGACTATCAGGGAAAACTGGCGGCTATAGCAAATCAGACTCTGCATGTGCCAGCCCACATTGTATTCACTTCTCCTTTTAAAGAAAATGAGAAGAATCATATCCTGTCCCAAAGAATGCATCTGTACAATCAAACTGCAAACAATTGCATCAGCTTCAGAGCCCAGTGTGCCCTGTGAGGTGCATGCCTCCTATATTCATGTGTACCAAAATCTAAACCTCACTTGCGACTGGGAGCCAAGCAGGGGGAGAAGCCACCTACACCCCCACGGCTGTGAATGTCCTGCTCCTGTGCACGCACACAAACCTTCTTGCCACCTAAGGTAACTGCTGAGGGAAGATTTGAAGCCAAAAAAGAAGTGACATTTTGAATCAAACTGTTCTTTGCTTTTAAAGCTCATGACTTGTGTTGACCCGCCTCCAGTTTGCCAGAGACTTAGAGTGACTAAACAAAGACAAAGCAGACTCCCTATCCCCATCTCTGTAGTACCTGTGCCAAGAACTTCAGATTCAGCAACACCATGGTGAAAATCAAAGCAGCACTCAGCATTTCAGCCATACCCTATTGGGTGAGCCAATTCATCTGGTTTATTTGGAGAGCAAATAGGAAGACTGCAATAAATAATAAAACTGTGAAACACTCCCTCTGTCTCTGGATCCAAACTCAGCCAAGTAACTCCTTGCCACGGCTGATGGAATGAAGGATCTGCTGTCATATAGGGTGACAATCTTTAGCAGTAATAAAGATTGTATTTTGGATGCTCAACATGCCAAGTTGGAAGAGATCAGTTGCTCTAGGTATGGCAGCCATCCAGCCATCAAACTTTGGTGCTCTTGTTGTCTTCCGAGGCGGAGCACCCCCTGCCAGCCACTCCTACATGCACACACGCTGCACATCTGCTTGAGAGGTGTGCGAGCCGACTGCTTCCTGCTCTTCCCGGTGTTTTCTCGCCGTTTCTAACTCAAAATGCTACGGAGAGCCTAAGCACCAGCATTGTCACACGCGTGGCACGCCTTGCTCTCCGCCGGGCAGCGACAGGGGACAGCCCGCGCGCGGCCACTAGAGCGCAGCACGTGCCCGCGCCACCCGCGCACGGATCCCATAAACCCTGGGAAAAGGCAGGGAAAACCAGCCGAACTGACCCAAAGGCCAGTATTTCCCTCCCCCGCTTAACCAGCATTTAGGAGCCGCTAGAAGTCTGAATCTTTGTCTGAAGAAAAGCAGGGCAAAATCTCAGCATCTGAAACCATCAGCAGTGCCACCCATTAATAAATCTCCCCTGAGAAGCTTGGTTTGAAAGAAAAACTAAAAACTTATTCAGTTTGATTTTGGGGGAGTACATGAGTGCAGCCAACCAACAAACTGGGAAGCCTCAAGATCTCTGCTAAATGCAAAGACCGAGAGGAAAAATTGCCCCGAACTTTTCAGGAGGATAGAGGGGAACCCTGCAAGGTGCAGGAAGTGTTTCTGTCCCCCGAGCTCCTGACTGCCCAGTGGCCCCGGAGGTCCCCTCTCTTCCCCAGGAGCTCTGGCTGGAGGCACCATGCAGGGGCCACCAGAGTCAGGAACAAACTGAGCCCGCCTCAAGCACCCCCCCAGCCTAATGCCTTCTGCACATTCATTATCTGGCAGTGGAAAAGGTGCCCAAGCACAGGAAGGCTGCTCCAGCGCCAGCTCCAGCATCCCCTGTTGACATGAGGGGGATCCCAGCACACAGCAGAGTGAAAGAGACCATAAGAGGGGCCCATTGCTTTACATGAGACAGTATTTCCATACCAGCAGAAGACTCCTCCCAAGTCAGGCTTGCTCCCAGGATCCCTCCACCAATGCTCCTTTTCCCCCAAGCCTGACACCTTCCTGATTCTCAGCTAGAGCTGAGACTTACCTATCACTGAAATAACATCCAGGCAAAAGTCCCTTCTTGTAGCCCACAAGAGATGAGCAAGAGAACTGCTCTCCATACATCTCCCAGTTCCAAGCCTGAAACTTTGTCCCCTGTAGCAAGCAGTCTTCTAGCAGATGCATCTGGTGACTCGGTGTAGAACTGGCTTTATAGGATTTACCACATCTGGCTGTTTGGGCACATCAACCACTTTCAGGAGCTCCCCACAGGCATTACTAAGCATCAGGGACTGAAACCCCTTAGAGCCTAAAGGCAGCCATAGCCATGTAATGCTGTAATTATTAGCAAATCAAAGAGAGGAATGACAGGCCTGCACAGGCTGCCAGGTAGGTGCTGTGCATTTACCCTGAAGGGGCTGTGCAGCTCCGGGTGACGGTGCCGATGGATGATGAGCCCGAGGGTGGCTAATCCTATGAAGAGCCATCGGGAAAAGCTGAAGAAGTTCAGTAGATGGTAGATGTCTCCAATGCACACCATGGCAGTGACCAAAGGGAACTGAGCATTGTGAACATGAAATACAGTCATTAAAGCCGTGGATCACCTCCTCCAGCCCCCCTGCAACTACATCACAGCTGCAACATTTTGGAGGTCAGAGAACTTTACAAAACAGTGTCACAGATTGAAGGCAAAAGACCTAAAGGCACTGTTCTGTAGTGCTACAGAAAAGAGTGATCATTTCAAGATCAGCAGCATCTTCGATGCTTCATGTCCAAGCCAGGGCAATTAAAACATGCATGATCCAAAAGCCTGCACTTTTGGTACACAGGCTATCTACAACGACATCTGCTAAGTTTTCAGCAGGTCAGCCAAGCTGCAACAGGCACTGCAGCACTGTTGGGATGGAGCTGAACCATTGCCATTAAAAAATCCCTGAACAAACCAAAACATGAGACCAGATCATCTCTACAAATGCTTATTCCCTGCATTTCCACCACACCTGGGAATTTTCAGTTTCCAAATAGCCAAGCCTGGCAGAGGTGTTCTCATAAGCCTATATCAAGCAGCACACCTGTGGCAGACAGTAGGGACTGTATTTTTAAAAAAGGTGTTACAAGGCAGGGACTTCAAGGTTGTACATTTGGATACCACTGCTGGCTCAAGGGGACTTAATACTTTGCAGCCATTTCCTGGATCCTGCCCTCTTTATTTTTCAGGGGGTAATTTAATGTCTCAACACCCTTTAAAACTCCTCAGTTTATCCACTCCTTGCAAGAAAGCCAAGACAGCAAAAGAACAGAGCATGTCACACACATCCAGATCTCCTTACCATTAACATGACAGCGGGAAGAGGGGTATGCCTTCGAATGTGGATCATGGAGAAGAGAGGAGGCCACTGCCCTTCCCTGGAAGCCACAAACAGAGTCCTAGGAAAAGACAAGGAGCCCTTTACATTAACATTCTACATCCACATTAGAAATGAGATCTGGACTGACCTGAGGCATCAAGACACCCGCTGCCTTCCCCAGCACAAATCTGCTATTCAAGACCACAGTTCTGCCTTTATCTGCACTTTCATAGAAAGCTTGGGTTGGGTTGGAACCCACCCCTCTGCCATGGGCAGGGACAGCTTCCACCAGACCAAGTTGCTCAGAGCTCCACTTTAGGGGCGTTTGGAAGAAAACCGAGGCTGAGTTCCCATAGCTCTCCCAAAACCAGTTCAATGCAGTTCAGAGCCCATCAGAACACTGGCAGTGGCCCCTTGGGTGCCTCATTAGCAGAGACCTCTGGGCAAGTCCGAAGTGACCGTGAATGAGCCCAGACTGGAAACAGGAGTAAGAAGAAAGTCTCTTGCCATCAAAAAAAGGAATTAATCTTTCCAATGAAAAGGAAGTGGAGGGGTCACAAACTTTAATCCTATATAAGAGAAACTGTTGAGTTTATGAAAGGGGATTGTCAGCTTTGAAATCTCTATTCTTATATGTACATATATAGAAAAAATAAAGTGCAATCTCCTCAAATGACAGATGATTTCCAATCTTCTGGTCAGCTGCTGGAAAATAAAGTTTGTCGTACTGCCAAGAGACCAGCTACACACAAGAACAACTACAAAATCAGAGCAGAGAGTTCCTTGCTTGCATCCCTCCTTTGACTCATGAAAGAGCAATTACGGAGAAGACAATCACATCCAATTTTATAAATTTAATATCCTCAAACAAACCATGCCAGAGCATCATCTGGGCTGAAGCAGGGCCCCAAGCAGCTGGGGCACAAGTGTACAACTGGCTTTATTGCTGTCTCTGTGGCTTTGCAGGGGTGTGGCTGGCAGGCAGCCAGGGAGGCCCCATCAGTGTTTATATGGACTTTCTGCAGTGATTATGGTAATGATGCCAGGATGGGGGAGAGAAGGTCAGTAGGGGACATTAAGAACCTCTGTGCTGTCCAGAGATTTCTCATCCTCAAAGAAAGCCATTATCTAGAGCAGTGAATGGGAAGGATCATCCACACCTGTATTTAACACAGGACTTCAGGGTAGTGGATCAGATAATTCATTAGCTTTCAGGCTATGAAATATTCCTTTCAGATCAACTGATTTTTCCCTTTGCAGTCAAAGCTGTGAAGCAGAACCCATGGCAGAGGGTTTGCTCAGCTTCACAGGACGAACACAACATACTTCTTCACAAGGTCTGCCCTCCTCTCCAATTTCAAGGCTCCCATAAGGACACAGAGTGTGGCAGACAGTGAAGCTGGCAAGTTTATTTTTCCATGGAACAAAGCTTTTCTTATTGCTATAACAAGACTTCTTGAACCTTGACTATTGCTTTAGGAATAGCCCATCTCTATGACATTTCACTGACTTCAAAGCAAAGTCCTCAAAGGAGAGTTTGCCTAGAGAGCCTCACAGCAGAGGGACCCCATGCCCTCCAGCAGCACAGCTGGGTGAACCCAGTGAAAGAAGACTCAGTCTCACTGAGCAGCTGCCAACATCAACAAAGCCTTTAGTTCACCAGAAACATTAACATTTCACTTTAAACTGGGGATTTAAACTGGAGGGTAGGGGAGAAGATAAAAATCTTTGTTTGTGACCAGTCCTAGACACCAAAGTCTGGACCTGGTCAGAAATAGAAAAAACAGACTCTTAGCCAAAAGGGACCATCCTGTACCTGACAACCTGAGAGTCAAAAGCCTTATTTTTCCCACAAGAGTGGCTAAAATGCCACTGTATGGATGGGTAGTTGTACAGGTTGGTGATACTTCCCTCTGATTCAGTAAGCCAAAAGCATAACATCCTTAGGGATGTGACCTTGAAAATGTGAAGATTCCTCCATTCATGGTTCCAAAGCAGGACAGTGCGACAAGGACAGGGACCACGGAGATCAGGCTTTTGAAAGCTCGCTGCACAAAGCTCTGGAGGAAAAGCAAACATGACTTCAGGGAAAATGTGATGATCTCTAGGTGACATCAGGGTCAAAAAAATGAAAAGTTCTTCCCTTGAAGGAGCAATATAGAAGTCATAAATCTCACTTTTTCTACTGTCATCTGCAGATTACTTTTTCATTATGGTTTAGGCATGACAAGAAGAATTTACTGTTGCCCTGTAATCCAGGGAAATTACAAAGCAATAAAGCATCTTATAGGAAAACCATCTCTGAAAGACTTGCCATGACCACAGCGTAAACTTGCCACACTGAGGAGATAACAACAGCAATGACAACTCACCACAGCCACAGCAGGAGAAGCCAGAACATCTTGTGTTCCCAGGACCGTGTAATAGGAGACATTGGTGAGCATGTACCCCACAATTACCGAGATGACGGACACGATGACAGCCAGGGGGATATTTCTAGAAGGAAGGGGAGCACACACACACACAAAGAACAAGCTGCTATTCCTTGTTATGCACAGCATTACTGCAGATTTTATCTGGCAGTACAATCGATTGCAGTCAGGTGAACCCACAAACTTTTTCCTCCTGTACTGCACTTGGGAAAGCTGCGGGACCCCCGAGGCTGGTAACCCAGGGCAGCTTCCTCCCAGCCTTACCGTTCAGGTTTGACCAACTCTTCACGCACAAAGCTGGTCTGAAACCTGCACGATGGGAAGAGACGGGGTGAGAGTCTGAGTCACGCTGAGGGCACCTGTCTGCTGCCCGAGAAGTGCCCTCCCATGGCACCTACCAGCCGGAGTATGCGAACATGCCTGCATAGAAAGCCAGGGGGAGTTTATCCAGAACCAGCGACTGTCTGTCAAAAGCATCCTGGAAGTTCTCGGTGTGGCCTGCAGAGGAGACAAACAAGGGACAGAGAGCAGGAAAATGTCAGAGACAGGCTTCCTTCCCTGTAGGATAACATCCCTTGTACCTCTTGCCCAGACCTGGGAAGAGTGTTTGCGATTTCCTTGGAGCAGGGTATTCAAATTCATTTCATTACTTTAATTTCAGTGCTGTTGCTGATGTGTTTACTTTCCTACAGTGACATAAAAAAAAAAAAAAATTAAAAAAATAATCTATCCCTTGTCCAGCTACGGTAGGCATTTCAGGAAGGGCAACAACAATGGCTAGTTGTTTCCAACAGACCCTGCTGTGGGAACAGGAGATCATGGAGGTGAGGGGATCCATGCTGTCCTCTCATTTCTTTAGGCCCAAAATTAAGTTGCTGGATTGACCCCCATGTTCCATCCCCAGCCCCCTCAGCAGCTGGACACACACTGCCCTTTGATGTGGTGCAGCCAGCGAGGCAGCTAACTCAGCTCTCACTGTGCTCTCTCCTGTTCCTGCTGCTGGAGCACTGACCCCAGCCCTGTGCTGGCCAGAGCATGGGAACCAGGCTGGAGGAGGGGATGGGAGCAGGGACCTGCCAGTCTGACCCACCACCACTCACCCACAGGAAAGGACACACAGGGCGAAGCAAATAAAATTTTCAAAGCAGAGGTGTCTCAGATATTTACCAACTCTCCTTATTTTCCTTCAAGTTGTCTGCTTGAAATAACAAAACAAAAGATAACAAAAAAGAAAAAAAAAGTCAGGATTTTCTCTAAATAAAAAAAAAAAATTAGGGAAGCGAGAAATGCTGAATGGCCTCTCATTTGAACAGAGTCAAAAAGAATTGCATCCCAACATTTTCAAATCCAGGTAACCCAAGGTTTGATTCAACATCTGTGTTCAATTTTCCATAATAAACTCTCTTTAAGTGGTGAGAAGCTTGCCTGGTTGGGCTTCACCAGGCAAAGTGTGGCATGGCATGGAGCACATGGAGAAAGTCAGGCCATTTCTGTGGAGGTGCATCTGCAGGAAGTTCGGTGATGAGATTTGGGCACTCGGGTTTGAAACACTGGCCCAGCCAGTCTCTAATATAAGCTTGAGCCAAAGAGAAGGTAATGGCAGAGGAAAGGACAGAAATGCAATTTTTTTTTGGTACTTTTATTATGTTCTAAAATTATAGCTGGTAAGTGATGGTGCATGAAAAGGATTTATTGCCTGCAATGCATTAATGAGCACTTTTCAGTCCCCTGTGAGTCACATTAAATACAACCTGTCATACTGGAGCCTCTTGCTGAATTCTCCCTCCAGATGTCACCTGCACTTATCCTCCCCTCCAGAGGAGGGGTGCCAGGGCTCCAGATTGTCATTTGAAGGCATTCCTAACAACAATGGCTCGGGATTCCTAGCTGCAGGGCAGTCCTTTAGTTCAGTAGTGCTGCCAGCCCAAGGGGAGCTTTGCATGTTCAAAGGAGCCAGCTCCAGACATCAGAAAGAAACATGAACGAGGAGCCCACTGCCTGTGGTGTTTTCTCTGCAGAAGAAGGTAATAGCAGGAAGAGGGAGCAGGTTTTATCCCTTGAGTGGGAATGCCTTGGGCTTTTCTATAAACTGAGGCTTGGATTAAAGCGAATACTCTTGTATCATTCACAGAAGATGCTACTGGCAGGGTTTTCTCCCCCACTGCATGCAGGCATGAAATCCTGTAAAAAGTTCATTGTCAATTCACTAAATTACCACCCATCTCAATCTGGAGGTAAAAAACATTAGCTTATGCCACAGAAGGGTTAGAGATACCATTACCAGGGCTCAGCTGAGGGCTGGTAACTCACAGCTGTGACTGGCACAGGGGATGCTGGCACATAGCCTAAACGTCCATCAAATATGTGCTGCTTTGGAAAGATTTTGAGCTACACAGGAAATAGGCAAGTCTGACTCCAAAGAAAGACCATCTACAGAGAAAGGTGTCTGTATGACCCTGGGTAGGATCACACATCCTCTGGTGCTAAGACCCACTAAATTTTGGAGAAAGCACCAACCAACCAACCAGGTGCATCAGCCCAGTGCCAGCTACGCCGGTCTCAGCTCCCAGATAATTCACATCTGGCACATGGACAGAGAAAGCTCCTGCCAGCTGAGTGAACACCACACTTGTCACTTGGGACTGATAAAAGCCATGATGGGGGACACATCGAGCACCCTCCCTCAGCCATGCAGCAACACCTACCCTGGGCCAGCAGCATCATCCCTGGCACAATGATGAGTGCAAGAGCCAGGAGTTTGACAACGGAGAGAGCTGTCTGCAGCCGCGCGCTCCAGGTGACACTCCAGGAATTGAGGGTGAGGACCATGTCTGGAGAGAAAACCACACTGCTACAGCTGCAGCCTGTGCTCAACACACACAGGAAAAAACACAGCAGCTCTCCCTGTCCTGGGGATGCTGGGGGAAAGGCACACCTTTATGCCTTAGAGAGGATGCCTGGGGTGAGAGATGTCAGAAAACACTGGTGTGGTCCAGCATACAGTGTTTAAAGAAGGGGCAGACTTATGTTCCTAAAAGGGAGCAGAACATGGTTCCTTCTGGGTAATCCACACCTGCCTGGGGGAAAGGTGTGGGACATCTCAGCAGCCGACTTCACAGCATTCCCTGTGCCAGCCCACACCAGTCTGGAGCAGGCAGAACACTTTCATGGGCTGGATGCACCAGGAGACGAGTCCAAAACCTCAAGCCTTACACCCACAACTCATGTGACTCTTGCACAATTACACATTGAGAGTTTCTGCTCCCACACCTGGCAAAATTTCCCTGCCTAGGGCTCCAGCTAGTCAACAGGGAGGCCCATTCCCCTTCCTAGAGAATAACGTGGCCCAACACCATCACCTTGAATCAGAACGTTTTTGGTTAGCTGAGGAGGTAAGACAGGACCCTTCCCCCACAGTTGTCCCAGAAATAACACCCCATAAGTGCTCCTTGTCTAGGGCAGAGAGGCCAGGACAGACAATCCCATAGGTGTTAGTACTTACAGTAGCCCAGGAGAGAGACGAGCTTCACCGCAGGGACAGGGGCAGCACAGGGGGTGAAAAACGGCTCCAGCATGTAGCGACCAAATGCCAGGGAAACCACAGCACTGTTGGCAGGCCTGGAGTGGGGGGGAACCAAGCACAATCTGGCCTGAGGATGGCTGGAAAATGGCATGAAGTAAAACTGCACAAAACTTGGGAAGGGGAGCAAGTTTCCCCCCCTGGCTTAATCCTCTCACCCATGCAGATGGTGAATTCCCATCAAGTTTTTCTCATAGGTTTTTCTCAGTGAATGGGTTAAAAACCACATGCTGCAAAATGATTAATTTCCAACTTGAAAGCAAAAGTTGAGATTAATCATACTGAGCATTGCGAGTGTAGTTCATATGTTCTGCTTCATCTAAGCTTACATGAAGGATACAGGTTATTGAGAGGGGAGGACTTCCTTTTTAATGCTAAAAAAATAAGTGGTTCACAATTTTATAAATTATTTGACTTGGGGCTAAGCCAGGAAGTTGTCTCCACTTTCCAAATCTGGAGAAACCAAAAAAGTTTCGCACTGAAAACAGAAGACCTGAAATAAATCTGGCACCTATTGTCTGAAATACACCACAGCTCTTGGGGGATATGAGCTGCCAGGGGAAAAGAGAGATATTCTTCAAGTACAGAACATATTTAACATTTCTAACTATTTCCACATTGTGTCTTCTTCCCTTTATCACTGAAAAATCTTTAAAAATCATTCATCTTGTTTCTACTCTTTTGTTTACAAACTGCCTGGACTGTTACCTGGCCCCATAACTTTTGGTATTTTAAATTAACACTGCATCCATGAAGAGGCAAGCAAACCAAATCTCTTACCTGATAGCAAAAAACTCTGCCCACAGGAATAAGAAGCTTGGCAGAGGCCCTAGTGTCTCCAAAATGTAGATATAATGTCCTCCAGACTTGGTGATTCTTGTTCCAAGCTCTGCATAGCACAAGGCACCTGGAAAAGTTCAGGTAAAAACGTACCAAGTAAATAATCCCAGGGATTTTCCCTTTTCTGTGTGATTTTTTCAGGGATTGAACAAATCCATTTAAAATAACTAGTGAATGAGAGGAAGAAAAAGAGGTTTAACAGAACTGCTTTTCCTTATTTTTGTGCACTACTGTGGTTTGAACTTTTCAAGTAATTGGCTTACCTGTCAGGTGGAAAGAAATTCTCTATTTTGTGGTTAATGTTACAACATTTCCATGGAAGCTCTGAATAAAGGTGCATGAGAGAAATGCTGCACAGAGCTACAAGAGGTTTTCTTTGAAAGATGCCCTGGATTCTTACTTCTCCTCACAGTTAGACTGCATGGCTGAACTGGTCATTCCAATCATGTTTTTGATCTCAGGCAACATTCTTGTGTCCTTATCTTGCATCTTCACCTAAATCCCTTCCCTCCCTTGAATCCAGTGGTGACATAACCATGCCTCCAAGTCCAATGGCAGTCATGACATATTCAGGTCATGCAGGATGGAGACAGCCTCAATGTTTCCTGCCTCCCTGTTGGTAAATTTGTGCAGAACTCCTGTTCAAAGCACCCAATATAGGCAGACAGTTCATCTTGTTTATTCCAGTGGTCCCTTTAAAGGCTTCAAGCATGCATGTAAATATGTTGCTGAACTCATGCAATGGGACTTGTATATATGCCCCACTTGAGAGGGAAAAAAAAGAGTAAAGAAAAGCAGGCCTTTTAAATACAATGCAAAAAAATGTCAGAGAAATGATCAGGGGAGGTCATCAAGCTGATAAAAGGGAAGAACAAACCAACAAATCCAGCTACAAAATGCAATCACTTGATAAAGAGGCTCCCAAGGCTCTTCCAGCAGAGTGTATCAAAGGATGCTGTAGAGGGAGAAACCTTTGCAAGTGCAGAGCTTGGCTGTGTGATCAGCACTCACATTATCATTTACTGCTCTGATTGGTTAGAAGAAACCATACTCACATTATATTGTCAGCTTTTCCTTAAGCAGAAGTGAATAATTCACCAAACAACCACACAAAGGTTGCAATGTGAAATATTGGTACACATATGCTGAGAGCAAGAACAATTTACTGCCCTACTAACAATTGAATGTCCCAGTTTCTAAACCTGCATGTACAAGCCACAGTGTCAAAGTGTTTTTTTTTTTCACATGGACTATTTTTCCTTTCTTGTTTATTTTTTTGTTTGTTTGGTTTTGGTTTTTTGGGGGTTTTTTTGGCAGGGTTTTTTCTGTTTGATTTTTTTTGTTTGGTTTTGGGGATTTTTTGTTTGCTTTTATTGTTTTTGCTTTGTTTGGCTTTTTGTTTCTTTGTTTTATTTTTTAGTAAGTTACAACAGAAGAGGAATGTTAAAGTCATCCACTGTAATAAGCGTCAGATTTCTCTCCTGGGCTGGGAGAACTTACAGTTGTCCTAATAGCACCTTCTGAGAGTTTCTTAGATGGTGACCTTATGCAGTTAATGAAAGAAACTAAAAGCCATGTGTTTTATCCACTGTAACTTACAAGAGCTATGTTATTTCAAAAGAACTAGAATGAAACTGTCATCAAAAAGACAATGCTTTGTGAGAAAAGACTGGTATTAAATGACAGAAATCAAGCCAATAGCAACACACAGAAAGTGGGGCAGCATCAGACATACCCACATCATTTCTTACAGACACCCAACACCTGCTCTGGGCTGGTGCATGCCCTGCAGCTCCCCAAGAATTCTGCTCCAGCAGAATTCTGTCTCTCTGACAGAAAGGGGGTCCCATGGGGCATATTGGGACTCCCTACTCTCTTCACAGTGTCTGTGAAAAGAACAGCACAGCACTCAGATTCCCTTTTAGGTGCCTACATCTCCTTTCTACCTTACAGAAGGAGTTCCCTCATTCTCTCCCAGCTTTCCTGGCAGACACCAGGCTGTCTCCATTTGCATCACTGCCACTCCCCTGCCCTGGACTGTACATGAATTGATATTCACAGACCATAAGTGCTGGAAGTTTCTCCACTGCCTCAGGGAAATCATTTGAACTGAAAACTCCTAGTGATCATTCCCAGACTTCTTAAACCTTTGTGGCAGTAGGAACCAGGAATTTTGGGTTTATTCATCTCCCAACTTTCTAAATACAAAAATGCACAGGCTCCCCTCACCTGTCAGGTGTTTAAGCAAAGGCTGCCAAAGCTCAGCACTCACCAAACATGGAGAAGAGCCCACAGGAAAACCACACGACCAGGGAGAATCCCACGCTGCCAGAGTTTTTCAGTACTCCTTTGGGGGAAATAAAGATGCCACTGCCAACCATGCTGCCGATGAGCAGCGAGAAAGCTCGCAGCAAAGTTATCTTTTTCCTCAGGAAGATGGCCTCTTCTTTCTTGTCTTTCCCCATGGCTTTCTTCTAATCACAGGGGAAGGTCATGCATTCAGGAGCTACAGTCTCTCAGGTGTCCTCAAGGCTCACCTGTAAGACAAGGAGTTAGGGATCCAAGGATCTTCTTTTCTGGACAAAATTTTTTTGCAGTAACCAGACTAGAGCTGTTGAATCTGTTCTCCTCAGCTGCAGGAAGCACCAGCCAAAGCACAGGTGCATAGAACACTCTTGGTATCACCTCTCTCATCAGTACAGCTCCCAGGAGACACTTTGAGTGTTTGCTGCTTCTTATTCCAGGAAGCACAAAACATTACATGTTGCATGCCAGCCACACCTCAGGATGATTCCCAAATTTGATTTGGAGTAATGTCAGATTGCCCAGACTGGGACTGGCCAGCTTAGGGTTAATTTAATGGGATCTAATATGGGGATAACATTGATTTTGGCTCACAGGCAGTAAACGAATTTAAAGTTGCAAACTTAACAACCAATACCTTGAGAATCTCTGAGGGCAGAAAAACACTGAGCTGTGTTAGCTGGTTCACAGAGAGGGTTTAAGCTTTTTTAACTTCCACCTTTGCTGAATGAACTAGCCCTGATTTTCTCACTTGAGCTCCGTTTTATCAGTGTTTCTTAATATAGTGTCAAGCTTCTTTGCTTTCAAAGTATTGAAAAGTCAGGAATAAGTATTACAATTGTAAGGCAGAACTTATTCATTACTAACAGACGTGCCATTTCTTCTATTCATATAAAAAAGTCCTTGGTAATAACAGCAGCAGTGAAGCTTTTCCTAGAAAAGAGGGAACTTCAGACACTTCAGGAATCACGAGTTGATCCAGATTTAGTTCTCACAAACTGCAGCAACCTCCCACTTCCCATCCTTGTCTCTCCTGTCTCTCTCTAAATTGGCAGCTTCACCAAGAAACTCACCTTTTGCTTAGGAAGGTAAGATGAATTCAGGTCAGTTGCTACAGCCTCATTTGCTGTAGCAAACCTGTCTGTAGTTTTCCTAATAGCAAGGCAGACGTTTCACACTTGTAATTATCCCTGGTAGAGCAAGCAAGACAAGTCTGGAGTAAATAATGTGGCTCTTGTCCGGCCTCCTGCCACACATCCCCAACAATAATAATAATAACAACAATAATAAGCTCATGCACTCAGCTTCAATGCTTTTTTTTTTTTTTTTTTTTCATTATTCTAATACAGTAAATTGCATTATGCCGAATATTTGCCCCGACCCCATGGCTGTATATTATTGCAAAGTTACACTTTGAGACAAAATGAGACCCTATTTTATGGGTTTCTTGAATAATTTAGTAATTGCAGTGGTGTATCCAGAAGGAGACAGTGGTCACCTCTAGAAGCAGACCTAAGCAGCCAGAAGCTGCCTTCTTGCTAAAGAGACAAAAATGTTCCCCTAACTTTGAGGGGACAATTCTTGTTACCACTCACCAATGATACTTCTTGGCATGCCCTGTGTAAACTCAGGGTAACCAAGGTCTTTTCTCCCCCATCCCCAGCTCTTTTCCCACCTGGAAGCTGTTGGGAGGAAGCAGGGTTATCACTTTCTCTGCACACATATGACAAACACATGCAGAAAGCCCTTTCTCCTGCCAGCAGCACAAGCTGGTTTCTCTGAGATTGTGCCAAGCCTGCACAAGCATCTTCTCAATCAAACCAGCCAAGTTTAGTTATTAAACCTCTAATGAGTCCCACAGGACTCTTTAAGGCTCAGATGGGTCACATCAGCCTCGTCTGGTCCCGCAGAGTTCCTCCTCAGAGTCCCAAAACCTCACAGGGCTGCTGGCGACAGTGGCTCTGGAAGAGCAAGGATAGACCCCTGGGAGCCTCCCAACCCCTCAGCTGCAGCTCCTTCAGACACCAGTTAATTACCTTAATGTGAAATACCAATAGTGTCTGGTTTTTCTCAGCTGAAATGAGACCCACACAGCATTCATTTGCAGGGGTGAAACACAGAGCCTCACCAAACTGAAGAGAGATGCTGTGCACAGCTATGTCTAAAGCACCGTTCGGAGATAATTAAAAGTGCACTTATCTGTTTGGCTGGGTTTTAAACAAAGCAGGTGCATTTACAATCCATCAGACTCCCATTTCTTGCAGGGATCCCGAAGCCACAGAAGACAGCGTCTCTTTGAAGTCTCTGAAAAAAGAAAGAGCAAGGGAGGAACAAAAAAAAAGGAGAGATCAAATCAAATTTACAGACCAGGTTAATGATCCAAAGTAAACACCAAACTCCGTACTTCTGTCCCCATGCCCTTTTTTTTTTTAAAAAAAAAAAATTATTTTAATACTACTGCCATGCAAAAGTATGTGGAGATAAAACAATCCAGTCCAGTAAATTTGAGAAACGTGAAATGTATCAGTACTTGTTCCAGAAGTGGTTGAAGGAAGAGGAAAAAAGGCAGAAAAGAAAAAAATATTGAGTAACAGAAAGCTATTGAAAAGAACTTCAAAGAGTCACCTAGCAGAGCCTACAGCCCAGAGAGACCATTCCTGCCTGCTCTGCTTTCCAGCTACATTCCAGCACCAGGCACATTAAAATTCAGGGATGTTAATCCTTGTGGCAATGCTTAAGAATATTCACAATGTGCTTAGCGCAAAGGAAACAGGCAAAGCTGCTTTTTGTTCACCCCTTTGACTTAAAGGATAGGCTCAAATCCTTCTTGTCCCAAAATGCAGTACCTTTACCTGAGAGAGATCACCAGTCAGCAGGGCTGGAGAAAAACACCACTCAAACCTATCTCACAATTTATCACCTATACTGGATCTTTCCTTCTCCATTTACACTGATTTTATTGTTGGTTTGGGGTTTTTTAGCTGTTAATCTTACCTCACAAGCACTGGAGCATGGACGGAGAGGGAGGAGACAGACGTAAAGAGAGAATCATATCTGTTACTCCTAGTGGTGTCTAAAAGCCCCAGCCAAGAGCAGGACCCACTGTGCTCAGCACAGAGGCAGAGTGGATGTTACTCTGATGAAAAGCTAGTGAGATAAACAAGCAAGCTAGAAAATGAGAGGAGGGAGACAGCATCATTCTCAGCTGGGAGCTGAGACCTAGAACAACGAGTGACCTTTCTCCTCCTGTCACGCAGGGAGCGGGTGGCATCCCTGGGAAAACAGGCTGTACCTCCAGAGTTCCACTTCAATGACCTATCCCCTAAAAAAAAAACAACCCAGCTACTAGAGAATATTCCTAAATATTTACAGCTGCATTTCTTTGTGTCCTCAATCAATATCATATAAGCCAAGAACAGGTTAACCCCTTCCTTTTCGAACTGCAAAAGATGCAGGGGTCAAACTATTCCTTGTAGTCTCACTATTTTTTCTTTTCTGGTGCCAAAAATGTCAGTCTAATTCAATGTCTACCACGAGGCACAGAATCTAACAAAATAAAATCAGCAGTGAATGGGAGCTTTTTTTATTCATGCATGAAAGTAACATAAATAAGCTTTAATGAGGCTGGTGGTGGTCTGTTCTGGGAACTCAATCAGAAAATCTATTTAGGAGACCTGAGAGATGTTTGTTTATAGATCAAAATGAACACAAGAAAGAGGCTGAAAGGACAAGACATGCAGCTCAACTTCTTTTGAGCACTGCACAGCTGGTTTGCCACCCTGGATAAGAAACCAAAAGGGACAGTAGTTAATAAATCAGGCTCAGGCTTGCAGCCCCAGATGTAATAATAAATCCATGCAATTGCCTTAGGTGTAAATGTAAAAAATAATTTCCATTGGCTTCTCTTTCTACAGAGTCTCACAAACATCATCTTGTGAACTGTCTATCAAAAGACTACTATTTCCTAACATTTCTGTCTTAATGAAATTTTTTTTGCCTTGACAGCAAAATTGCTCTTGGCTCAGGTCACAGCACTTCCATAATCTCATTTAGGCATTTCCAGTTATCCTTCAGACAGGGGTAATTTTTCTGGAAAACTGATGGCTGATGGTGTGGTGAGTCTGGACTGCTTGATGGTGTGAGGATGACCTTTTAATTGAGAACTTAAAAGTGGTGAATCCACACTTTGGCTAAAAATTGGACTAAGCCAAGACCAAGGTTTTCAAGCAGCTAAATTGCTGTTGGCTTGAGAATTCCTTCCTACACCAAGTTTAAAATTCTTCATTATCACCAGTCTGACAAAGCAGATATTACAAATGGAGATATTTTATAACCATAGTGCTGATTGATTTCCAGGATGCATGCACAGATCATACAACATCATCTCATTTCTCTAGGCATCCAATTATAACTCTCCATTCAGCTGCCACAAGGAACTTATGTGTCCAGAACTGATTTCCCATTAATGTTGTTGTGCAGGAACATTGGCCCTCTCATGACTATTTCTTCCTCGCATGTTGCCAGTGACACGCAAAACACAAATCTAGAGAGACACACACCTGATTAAAAAAAGACTCCAGTGTTCCTCTACAGCACCAGCTATTAAAGACTGTCAGAAAAGTGCAGCAGCATCCCTGTATTGTCACCCTGAAAACTAAAACCTTCTGATAATGTTTTCATAGTTCTAGTTACTTTCCCATGAACGTTCTATAAACATAAGTTGTTTATCACATTCCTTCTAAGAAACGTCTTTTGATGGACGTTTTGCATGACCAGTGTGCTTGGGAAGGTGGTAACTTAATTATCCAATCCCTGGTCATTGTCAAGATTCTATAAATACTAGAGTCAGAGAATAAAGGTTGGTTCTTTCCTGTTCTAACACTGAGAAGTGTTTGTGTGAATCATTTCATGTCCTTTAGCGACACTGTATGATGAACTAAAAATGATTCCTCTTTCTTACAAGCAGGAGTAGGGAATACTCAAGGCACTTGCCTCCCAGCCCATCAGATCCAAAGGAGCAACAACACCCAGAGCACCAGGCACTGGAGCACATGATTCCTAGGAAAACAAGGAAACAGAACACTTAAACAAGAGACTGTCTCACACAGTTGTGTTTCCTGAGGCCAGCATCTTGGCTCTACCTTATCGCTAGTGGGGCACTGTACAGGGAAGTGTCCTCAGAGCTTCATTCTTTTGTGGACAGTCCTCCAAGTAGCAAGCTGTTTTCACTCTCCAGATCAGACCTCCTCCCTGGAACAAGACAATTTGTCCTATTCAAAACTGTTTTCTTAGCTGCGTAGGACAGAACACAAACAAAAATAAATCTAAACGTTTCTAGCAGAAGACACCCAACAGAGAAGTCTAACGTTGTAGCAAAGCACAGCCAAACTTTCCCCAAATGAGAATTCTTCTCAAGCGCCTCAAATTTAAAAAAAAAAAAAATAAAATCCATATAGAGAAACATCCTCCCTCATTCCAATGGTTTGTGGCATTGCATCAGTGCCTTGGGGTTTGTCTGCCTTTGACCTGGAGCTGGGCAGTGCCCATGCTCAACAGCTCTTGCAGGGAAAATTCCCCCATGAACCAGGACTTTGTTTTAACCTCAGGCCTTGACTGAGGGTTATAAAGGGCATTGCTTCCTAGCCACTGCTTGGTGATCTAGAAAAAAAACAAGATTGAGAGACTCAGACTGCTCGGTGGGAGCTGCTACTCATCCCTGGGGCTGTTGCTTTGCAGGGCTGCTATGGTGGGGTCTTTAGCAAGGCCATTATTCCCATCAGCAATAGCCCAATGGCACCATCATGCAGAGCCAGGAGGTGCTTCAGAGCTGCACACTAATCCCTAAACCTCTTCATAAATATTCTGCAAGAACAAGACACATTTCCTTAGTGGGGGAAAATGCCAAAAAGCCCATGCTCATCACCAGCTTTCCTCACTAAGGAAAATTTCCCACTAATACCAGCTATTTTATCCTTTTATAGACACAGCTCTCTCCTGATGAAACTCTTGCTGGAGTGAGAAGAAACCCTCTGCTGCTTTTGCTGTTGTCGGATGGTGGGCCCCATCGATGGGGGTTCCTCATCTACCCTGCTTTAACCATCTGGAATGGAATCCTTTGAGAGCTGACTGAAGTAATAAAATTCCTCTTTCTGTATTGCTTCATATATTACATTAGTTTCCCCCTTAATCTCACTGCACTGCTGATGATTTATCACCTCAGGCCTCCAGTTCCCCTCAGACCTGACCTCAGTGCCTGGGTTTGCTCCCTCTCTTCCCACTTTCAAGGAATTCAAATGAAAATCTAAACATTAAAAAACAACAACCCTTTACACCTGCATTAGTCACTCACTTTGATTGCTACTCATAGTCTAATCCACAATTAAACCTCAGTGTTTTATGCTAAATCATCCACTCTGGTACCTGACACTCACACACAGCCCAACCTCTGCCTTGGACATACCTCAGGGTGGGGGGAGTCTCCCCTGTTGGCCTTTCTGCTCAGCTGTTACTCATTTAATAAAATATAAGCCAAATACACAATTATGCTGGAAGGAATATGTTTCCTTGTTTGGCCTTTTTGGCTCTTATCCAGCAATTTTCAGGCAATGGGGATTTATATTTTAGTCCACCAAGTTTCAGATTAATTCCTTACCATTTTCCATGCTTCTGATGGAAGAAAGGGGACCAAGAAGGGTTTTCTCTGACCTCTACCTCACTCCCCATGAGACAGCACAGGAACACACGTCCTGGTCTGTCCAGGGTAACAGGGACCAGCAGTGACTTGTAAAAAGACAGCATATGTCTTTTTATATAATATGGCACAATATCATCTCAGGCAGTGCAGCCCCTGCCAGCTTCCCAGAGCCAGAGGGACACTAATCAAACACTTCTATTTTTTCAGGTAACAAACAGGCCACCCCCCATTTTCATTTGTATTTAGTGAGAATCGGTTTCTAGGAATGAGCATGTCAACAAAACCAGATCAACATGCTCACTGGGAAGGTTAAGTCAACACAAGGCCATGTTTATTCAATTTTAATGTCAGTATAGTCATGGAAGGATCTGCTGGGAAGGATCTCTGGGTGCCTCTGGCCCCATCTCCCATAAGCAGCAGGGATGTTACCAGCACTAGCTCAGATCATCTCTTGCTCTGTCTAGCCAAGTCTTAAACCCTCTCCAGAGTCCCTGAGCTCTCCTGGTAACCTGTTCCAGTGCTGCACCACCATCCTGTGGAGAAGCTTCTCCCAAAGGCCTCTCAGAACATCCCACCCTCTGCTTGTGGCTGTTCCCCACAGCCATGTCATCTGTCACTCCAGAGGATTCCAGGAGCTCACCCTCACAGGTCTGCTCATAGCGGCCTTTGGTGATGGTCCTTGCCACCCCTCCCTCTCCAGCAGCCAGGGCTCCACCAGTCCCCAGAGGTTCACTTCTCTTTGGGTTTCCCTCAAGTCTGTGGACTCAACATTGCTGCAAGTTGTGATTGCTTAAGCACAAAGAGCTACAGGAAATGAAAGGCATCAAGTGGATTTTCCCCTCCAATCTGGAGGCTCCGGCATGTTTCTGATGTCCCCTGAGCCCCCACACTGAAATGACCTCCAGCCTTGGAAACTCTATTTTTGGCACTTTTTTTTTCTAGCCCCTCTCTCCTTTTTTCCATCCAGGACTTTGAACCTCCCTCTGATCTTGTCCACACGATTGCATCATTCACGGCAGGTAAGGTCAGCACGAGTAGAAGGAAGTACAAACAGCACTTCACACAGCCCGCCGGCAGCTGGGAGAACCTGCAGCCACAGAGGTTATGGACCCAGTCAGGTCTAATAAAGACCTGCATCAGTGGAGGGGCAGGAACTACAATTGTGATTATTCATGTAGAAACAGAGGTCACTGCTTCTCCTGCTTCAGAAGCAAATCTGAGCCCTGTGGGGCATCTCAGGAGGCGGTTTCCTTTGTGCATAGCGCTGAGCCAGGGCAGCCCAGCAAGCCTCTGCTGCGGGCTGCACAAAGGAAGAAATACCATGTATTTTCTTTCCCATGTCACAGTAGCTCAGCGTAGATGCAGAATATGCATGGAGAGAGGAAGGGAGGACTTTCCCTTACAGGACACGGCTGTAGCCCTTTGAGGCGCTTGGATTTGGGGTCACTGAGGCCAGTACCAAGGAGTCACATCTGGAGCATGGAAGATCTGA